TCAATTCGGTCAGTACAGGACAGAGGCGATCGGACGGTAGACGGATGGAGTGAAACTGTCCGAATGGCGCAGACTCGGACGGTGCGCACCCACGTCCTTGTGGCCTCGTCTCGCTCTCGTTTGGGACATTCATGAATCGTTGGGGATTGCATCATATCCTCGCGTACTCGTATGTGATAGTGTATTATAACGAGGAATGCGTACGAATTTATGTTCCCAGTTTACATGTATCCTCTCCTTCACACCATGTCCGTATTCCCTCGTCCGCTGCTCTTCTGCCTGTCATCGGATATGTCATTGTACAAGGCTGGGATGTCTTCTTGCATCACTTGGTCGATAATTCAGAAGATCGCGAGCGGTTAACAGGAGGAAGGGGGTCGTAGACAGGTAGGGTCACAGCGCCCGACTGACGACACTAGGCATTCAGCAGCCTCGCTGCGCGTCGTAGAGAAAGGAGAAGCAGAGAAGAATGTATTTTAACATGTGTAGCAGCTTGAGATCATGGGTGCATCCAATATCAATACAAAGACGTCAATGTCGCATCTTGTCCCGCATCCCCTGGGCATCCGATCTTCCGACGTCGCTCTGATGCCAGAATATTGAAAACACGGGGAACGCGGGACAGCGAGATGGAGCAGAGAGTCGATGAGGGATGAATGAACGACAAGCGTGACGCGCCGGTGGCGAGAAGCTCAAGGTCGTGGTGGGAAAGCCGAAACATCGACAATCGCGGCGTCGATGCTCCTTGCGCGCGTACATACGCTCGACGCTCGTATGCATTCAGCCTCAGTCGGGCTCTTCCACTTACACATCCATGGATCCATTCGTTCATGCCATAGGCAGTGCACGACCACGGGTTCCATGTAACTTCAAGTTACAATCGAGCCTGCATGGCTGCGCCCATGCGTCAAAGTCTGATTTTGCCCACTTCCGCGAGGACGGTGCAATAGTCGAGCGCACAATATCGGAGCCATTCAGTGATCATGATTGCAGAGCTAATAGCAGACGCGCCACTTACAGAGCTTGATCAGGTGTGTTCTATGAGTGACTCTGCCTCAACAGTTCTTCTGGAAATGATCGTAAGTGTTCTGCAAACTCTCTGAATATGTAGGATCACACCTGATGTAAATGTTGATCTCACTGAGCCCATAAGGACTCACTAATAAGGTGCACGTTCTGAGCAAAGGCTAGCAGCGGTAGAGGCAGCACCGTACTGGCCCGACCTGATTGCGACACATAGTGCAACTACGTATACTCCTACTTCACGGCTGACTACTGTACTCACTGCTAAGTGACTCTGGAAGACCTCGCAATGCCATCAAGCATCTCAAGTGATCTGCCGTACTGATCGGAAATCGACCCTGCACGCCACTGAGGGAGTGCTTCCTCCACACCGGGATCAGATCAATCTGAGTGTTACTGAACTGTCACCAATAATGAAAAGTATTTTCTGCTTGCAGTGAGACCTTGAAGGAACAGCAGCTGTATTCTGAGCTATCTCAGTATCTACTATTCACCTCATAGTGTTGGAAAGATGGAGTCTGTGCCAGATCCCAAGGGTAGCTAGCGGCAGGGCTGGACAAATGGACTTACATAATGTAACATGGAAGACAAAGGCAGTGCCCTGTCGCAGCACCATCACCATTGGATCGGTTGTGATTCAGCGGCAATTGTCCTGCAGCAGGGCAAGGTCCCCGTCTTTGGCAGGGAATGTGTTCCGGCACATCACTGGTGACTGTCACCATCACACTCCTCTTGTCAAGGTATAAAAGCTGATATGAACCTGGCACGTACTTCGTGGCCGCTCCTAGGCCGTCGTTATGCTCCTGCGAGCTACGAGTCCCTCACTGGCCCTCGCAGCGTTCCCTCTATGTGCCTGGCAAGGGCATGTGGGTATGTATGTAGAACACTGTTTGTAAGCGTTCTATTGCAGGCTCAATGAGAGATGTCTCACTTATCCATAATGACAGTACACAGAGCCGTCGATGTCAGGCCCTGAAACGGGCGTCAACGCCGCTGTAGCGTCTGCGAGGGGAGTCTACGAGCAAGATCCGCTGGAGATCGTGCCGAGTCGATGGAGAGATCGAGGCGAGTGGCGGTGTGGCGCCGCGTGATTGGCCTGTGGGTCTGCTCATTCGTGTCGTGTGCGCTTGCTCACGCTCTGGACTAGGCCAGTATTGTACTTGGCAATCTTGCACTGGCAAGCTCCTCATGACGATTGCCCGACAGCCACAACAGATATACGACGTTTAGAGAGCACGGAAGCATAGTGGGGTACGATGAGCACACTGGCACGGCGCGGTCAAGGGCAATTCATTGTACGTGATCAGTGATAGTTCTCTCATGGCGGACTGACTTCTCATTGTCCAGAAAGGTCGGACCCACACGCGGTCGACGACGCACGCAATGCACGTCCTGCCCGTGGACTGAATAGTCGAATTCTCGTCATGACGTTGTCTACGCCGGAGCTCTCGTCTCGACGCCCAACTCGCAAGACTACCCGTTGCGCCGTTCGCACTTCAGGCCACCATTGGACGACGGTCATGCCTTACGCCCCCTGCACGGACTTCTAAGCGATCATGGCAACGAACCTCCGCCTCGAAATGCCTCGCGCTTTGTCCACGCGGCGAGATCCAAATCCTCGCCGGTGCGTTTTCGGTACCTCGGCAAGAGCCCATACCTGGCGCAGGCCTTCCAGCTTGTCCTCCTGCCTCGCTGGAAACGTCGAGGGCACACCCAGAATTATCTCCCCGATATCCTTCTGCGCCAGCGAGCTGCTTTGCGCGACTTTGGCTTTCAGGCGACATTCGACGCAAAAAAAAAATCGACGTCTTTTCACTCATCTCGCCGCTTCTCGAAGTCATCCAGACCTGCTTTGCGCCGGAATGCTTGTACTTCATCGTCGATCCTTATCCGTGGACTCGTGGCGCTTTCGGCCCGTCGCACTCCTTTGGCAGTCTCTGGATCCAGCGGCGTGATGGAAATGGGTTGCAGTGCGGAGGGACAGGTACATGAGATGAACAAGACACGTTCGGTACGATAATAAGGTGATTACACTCGCTATCATATCGCGTGTTAACACTAATGATCCCGTGCAGTTGTATTGCATCCACGATTGCCCGGTTTGTCTCCTCGTCGACGCGAGGTACTGGATCTGTACGGCTGCGAACTCTCCACCCACCGAGGGCACCATAGGTACCCGCAGGACGTCGCTTATGCTGCAACTACAACCTCCCGGCAAGCATTGCATCACCCTCATGTATCCCTGCCACGCGTGCCAAGTCCCGCCGCCCATATCTATCGATTTCCGGTATCTTTTAGTCACCCGCGCCGTCGACTGAAGTGCTCACCTTCCACGACCACTTCCTTTGCATGGTGACACAATCCCACTGTGCCTTAGGCTCCTGTCTTTGGGCGTCCGACATACCTCTACTCGACAGAGGATGTGTACACCTTCCTCGGCGGCGATGGATGCACATTTGGCTTCCCAGCGACTTACGCCTTTGCCCCAACCCTCCTCCGCCCCGCCGCTCCCTCGCAGCCCATCGACGTGTGTGACAGCAAATTAGGTATGAGACATCAGCTTGTGTCAAACATCGACAAAGCTGTTGCAACTGTCCTGACATATCTGAATATCGATCTGTCTGCCAAGCATCTCCGCCCGCGCCCGTCCCAGACATCAAAGTAAGGATGGATCGCGTTCCGGCAGTCAGCATGATTTGACATGAACTGCTGCTGTTCGACCTGCCGCCCGCGCAATGTGGGGACACATCGTCTCCCCCGGAGCTGCGTGGTTTCGACTTGAGCGGGTAGCTTTGGGTGGCTGTAACTCGGCTGGCTGCCACGACTGGCAAATGTCCCTTGTGGGTCTCGCGCTGGGTGTCTCGGTGTGGATGCTTCAAGTGCTTGGGTTTCGGTAATGTCTGCCACCCGCCCGAAGCTGTCTCTGGAGACCTGGTCGTCAAAGTAGGGACAGAAATGCGTCCCACGAGCGGCATTGGTTGGCGAGAGGGAACGGCAGCCGTTGCATATGATGTTCGCATTGATGTGTTTGGTGCCATTCCTCGCCGCCACTCGCCATCCTGTCTCGACATTCACAGCTTCCGATCGTCGGGGTCCGGGCCTCTGCTAGTGCCCCCTTTGCCGACTGTCTCCCTTGCTATCCTCGACGCTCGGAGGCCTGGTCGGCACAATAGGGACAGATATGCTTCCCGCAAGCAGTGTCTGTGCATTGTAAGCTCGCGTTCATGCATGTGTCATCCCCCGCCGCCGCAATCCTCTCTCGACACTGTTGCGCGTCCTCCGATCATGAGCGTCTGGGCTGCTGTCTCGTCCCTGACCTTGTCCCTTCCTCCCCTGGGCCTGGTCAGAAAAGCAGGGATGGAAACACTTCCCACGAGCGGCGCCGTTTGGCGTGTGTCCGGTGCATACAATGTCGGCGTTGTTCCTGGCCAGCGCCTTCCTACCTCGGCACTCGCGGCTTCCGATCATCAATGTCTGAATGGCTGGGTCCTTCCCCGATCGTCTCCCTTGCTACCCTCGTACGCCCACACCCCCCCGGTTGCCACAGTAGGGACAGAAATACTTCCCGCGAGCAGTGTGATCTAGCACAAGGGAGCAGTGTAGAAGGATGCATCGGTGGTGTTCCTTGCCGCCGCCTTCCTCGCTCCACCTTCGACCTGGTCAACAAAATAGGGACAGAAATGCTTCCCGTGAGCGGTGTCCGGTGCATACCAAGTTCTCGTATACGCATCTGTGTCATTCGTCGCCGCCGCAGTCCTGTCTCGACACTCGCAGCTTCGGATGAACAATGTCAGTATTTCGCTGACAGTCTCCCATCCTACCCTCGACGCTCGCACAGCCCTGGTCTGCAAAGTAGGGACAGAAATGTTTCCCGCGAGCAGCGTGATCTAGCACGAGGGAGCAGTGTAGAAGGATGCGTCGGTGTTGTTCCTCGCTGCCGCCTTCCTTGCTTGACCTTCGACCCGGTCAACAACATAGGGACAGAAACGCTTCCCGCGAGAGGTGTCCGGCGGGTCCTAAGGTCAGCGTTGTTCATCGCCATCGCCTTCCTGTCTCGGCACACTCTCGCGGTTCCAATGATCAAGTTGTCTCCCTGCCCCAACCTCGAGGCTTGCGCAGTGCCTCTTCATATCTCGCGGACTCTTCGCGTCTGGCGGCGAAGTTGCGAGTCCCTTGCTGACTTTTGACTATTTTGATCCGGTCTGGTCCTCCGCCGATGTTGTCAACGTTGTTCCGCACAACCGCGCCCTCTCGATGCCTCGACTGTCAGTGCTACAATATCAACGGGAATCGTGGAACGTCAGAGGCAGTCGCTCTGGGTACGTTGACCTATTTCCATCGCTGCATGTCTTTGCTAACACCCCTTTGTGCTCTCCAGCCTCGTCTGTAACAACATCTTGGAGTGAGAGAGGGTGGCATATACGAAAGAGGTTGGCTGTCTTGTTCTGTTCCACTTGACACATGCTGACCTCGTCTGAAATTACATTCCAGACTCTAATCATACACTTGTAGTCTACATAGCATACATGACTTGTACCGTAGCTAGCGAAATAAACGGGCGAGAGCAGGCTTTAGGGCCGGCTCTCGCCCATTGCAAGAAGTAGAACAGCAGGGGAAATCCTTACTCGAGGCGCCCATCTTTCTACCGTGGGAAAGCGGACTTGGCGGGGGGAGGGGCACCTCCCCATCCAAGTCCGCCAGAGAGACAACGAAACACGCACCTCCCCACCATCGATCTTCCCGCGGACCATCTCGAGGGCGAAGACGAGCAGGAGGATGACGGGGAGCCCGTCGTTGTCGTTGTCGGAGGCATCAGTCAACCTGGGGTGCATGGGCGTGTGCGAGGAGGAGGAAGGGGCGATGATAGCGGCGGGGAAGCAGAGTATGCTTACTGCTTACTAGGATTGCGTTCCACCCAGCATTGGACACCGAGTAGACAAGAGATAGGCCAAGTAATCATCGAGAATAGGCTCGGCTGTGATTTGTGGGCGTCAGAGTCCACAGGTTGCGGTTGGACTTGCGTGTCAGGCAAGCGGTGATCGTGGCTTACGATATCCCATTTACGTCATAATCTTCCGCGGCTCGCTTCCCTCCACCTTCAACATCGTGCCCATGCCGCCCACGCACATCGCCATCCTCGGCGGCGGGCTCACGGGGCTCTCCGCCGCCTTCCACCTCGCGCGCCGCTTCCCCTCCACGCCCATCACCCTCCTCGAGAAGGAACACCGTTTCGGCGGCTGGGTCCGCAGCGAGCGCGTTGAGGTCGCCGACGGGCAACGACGCAGAGAGAGTATGGTGTTGGAAGCGGGCCCACGGACGTTGCGGCCGCGGAGTATGGCTGTTTTGGAGCTGGTGCGTGGTTTCGACGCGCATATACCCTGCGTCCACTACTAGAACGCGTATTGACCCCTCAAAGCCCAGATCCACCTCCTGGACCTGACCCCCGCCCTCCTCACCGTCCCGCTCACCGCCCCCGCCGCCCGCACGCGCTTCCTCCACCTCCCCCCGCGCCCGGGCCTCGTCCCCCTCCCCTCGTCCCCCCTCTCCCTCCCCTCCTCCCCGCTCGCCCCGCTCCTCCTCTCTGCCCTCCTCCGCGAGCCTTTCCGCGCTGCCAACCGACCAGATGGCGTGGAGGACGAGAGCGTCGACGCGTTTTTGAGCAGGCGGTTTGGGAGGGAGCTGGCGAGGGTGATGGGCAGCGCGCTCGTGCACGGGATCTACGCGGCCGACTCGCGCGTGCTGAGTGTGCGCGCGGCCTTCCCTGCGCTCTGGGATGCGGAGACGCAAGGGCGGGGGAGCGTTGTGCTCGGGATGCTGCGCCGGAAACAGGGCGAGGGCGAACAGGAAACCTATGAAACAGGAGAAGTGGAGGAAACGATGAAGGGCGTGTCGGTGTACACGTTCATAGAGGGCATGGAGACGCTCGTGCACGCGCTCCTGGGCGCGCTGAGGCAAAGGGAGAATGTGAGACTCGTGAGCGGCGAGCGGGCTACCGCGCTCTCGCTCGACCCAATATCTAAATCCATAACGGTACGCACCCCCCCCTCCTCTCCCTCTGATTCACCGAACCTACATCTCACCCAGATAACGACCCCCACGCATACCCTCCACCCCTCCCACCTCGTCTCCGCGCTCCCGCTCCCCGCGCTCGCAGCCCTCCTCCCGCACGACCCGTCCCTCCGCCTCCCGCACCTCACCGCGAACCCCTCCGCGTCCGTGACCGTCGTCAACCTCGTGTTCCCGCAGCGCGTGCACCCGGACGGGTTCGGGTACCTCGTCCCGCGCTCGTCGGGGGAGGAAGAGGTGAAGGGGGGAGGGGAAGGGAGGGTGCTCGGCACGGTGTTTGACTCGTGCGTCGGCGGCGTGCAGGACCGCGTGCTCGGGGACGACACCGGGGAGCGGTTCACGAAAGTTACCATGATGCTCCGCGCGCCCTCCCGCTCTTCCTCTCCTTCCCACTCGCCCTCCACCCAATCCCTCCTCCGCACCCTCACCACCCACCTCTCCCCCTCCCCCTCTCCCCTGCCCCAGCCGCTCCTCGTCCGCACGCACGCCCAAACCGAGTGCATACCCACGCCCACCGTCGGGCATTTGGCTAGGATGGTAGAACTGAGAGAGGTGCTTGGGAAGGAGCCGTGGGGCGGACGGGTAGAAGTAGTCGGTGCAGGAGTGGGGGGTGTTAGTGTGGGGGACTGTGTGGCGGCGGGGCGGGCGGTTGGGAGGGCGTGGTAGGTTTATTGCAACCCGCACTGACTGGGCGGACCCTGTATATGGGAGCGTCGGCGCGTCGCGAGGCACGGACGAGCAGTTACTAGTCATGCGTGACTCCAGGCGCGCGTGGTGTGCGTTGAATCATAAGTACCTTACTTAGACCGCTTCGCCTAGTAGATGCTGGTCGCAGGGATAATGGTAAATAATAGACGGGCACATACAGACATCTGCGGTGTTTTCGTTTTCGGCTGGGGTATCTAATGTATGCGCGTCTTCTCCCTCTATCGGTAATCAATATCTGAAGCTGCCATATCCCCTGATTTCCCAGAGGTCCTCGGGCTAGGGGAGATGTGGTTGGCATTGCCTCCTCCGTCCCAAATCACTGCAGTACTGTACCGGCGCATAATAGTGTCCGCGGCAATACCCTGGCCCTCATATCTTCGTTTCCTATCAAGACCTCGCTCTTTGACACCTGTGCGCATCGGGTGATCAAAACTAAGGGTATCCGTAGGAGAAAGGACAAAATTCTCCAGGATCGCGTCGAGGCGGTGCATATGAATGTCGGACCCGGATAGATAGTTCGTAGAGCGTCCGACCAGTTCTGACGGTCGAAGCATAATCTCTGACGAAAAAACAAAGCCAACAAAAGAGGAAATGGCGTCTTACTGTCATGAATCTTTCATGCATCAAGTAAAGCGTCGATGCCGCGAGAGTCAAAGACGAGGTCTCGTTTTCCCATACGACCTCCGAGTTCCCGGGATCACGCCCGCCCACACGCCTAGCGGAGGCGATCGTATCCCAACCTCACCGGCGGCTTCTCGTAAAATATGAATCATGAGACGGTAGGCCTCCCGATTTTCTGCAGCTCCTGGGGATTTTCGTCGACATATCGAGCTCACCAATGGCGGCTAGGGTTAATGTGGCAGGTGGATCAGTAAGCCCAACTGATGCCGAACGTATGAGTTACGTACCACGCAAGCTGATCCACGACGGTCGGGGAGGTTGAAATGTCCCGACACCCTCCTGAATGATGCGTATCACTCCTGGAAGTAATACCTCACCTTCAAAGATCTCGCTCTTCAGCACTGCGAACCACAGCACCTGCCAAATCAGGCAACGCCAACCTTAACTTCACGTACCGTGCGCAACCCGAATGTGGCCATGGCCAGGCCGGGGACTCTAATAATACTGCCACGAACATTCATGGGAACGTTGTCCTCTGTGAAAGGAAGACTGATATTTACAGCATGCTCAGCTCCCCCGCATTGCAGGGGCGCACCGCGCACCTTCTCCAGCAGCCCCCATGGCCACCGCGACAAGCACGCCCGCCTCCTCGCCTATCAAGTACACGCCCAAGACGTCCTCGTTCCTCTTCGGCGCGGTGCTGGTCTTCGTTGCAGTGTTTTTTGCCATTCTGGGATGTTTCATGGCGCCACGGCGGCTCCGCCGGCGTCAAAATGCTCTCACTATCACACCGGTGAGGCGGGCAACCAGAGACAGGACCGCAAAGGCTGCCACACTGGAGAAACGCGAGCCAGTGTTTGCAGAGGTGGCGGCGACTCCTTGTGCTGCTCCCAGCTGGCCCCAGATGATGGTACGTTGGGTTAGGGTGAGTCGTCGAATCACACTCATCGCATTTGTGTTCTGCGTTAGCCGCTCTCAGCCTACTTCATACGAGAGTCAGAGTCACGGCGGAACGCTGATCGAGAGCCACCTCAAGTAACTCCGGAGAGTCCCACCAGGCGACTTCGCACCAGTCTCCTTTCTCGATATTTTCGTCGGCGACGACCCGAAGCAGTGGAGAGCGGGGCGGTTGAGATGCAAGAAGCCGTGCCCGTGAAGGGCGTTGAGGTGGCCGTGCTGATAAAAATGCCTTCCCCTACGCTTGGTCAAACGCAACGAGCAAGACTCGCAGGAGAAATGGCACTTGGGCAGGCGCGGCTGCCCATTGATTGGAAGGGATGGCAGTCATGACGGAACGTAATGTCACTCACGGATAACGACCCTAGTGTTCTCATACATTGTACTTGTTAGACGACTGGGAGTATATCCTGGCCTGCGACTATGTTGATTAAGTTGCTTGATTAGCACGGCAAGCTGAGAACATGAAGATGCGGTTCCGTCTCACGCCTTCCACAGCATTGCGCCGCCTGATGTTTCACCGACATCCACCCAACGAATAATCATATTGAATTCAGGTTCTACTGCAATGACAGAGAGCCTACTCTAGGCCGAGCCAGTCAGTGATGGTCGACATTTTATCAATCAAAGTTGAACGCAGCACCGCAACGCAACGACGAAATCGCAAGTCAATACGCCATGCCGGTGCACGGAGGAAGCACCAGGGTCGTCGCGTACCTGGCTGCTGAACGAAAAACATACTGAGCATATATCGCACAAAATTTAACTGAAAGCATATCAAAGATGTCACTTGCGAACAGAAGTGCCACTAGCCAGCAGCATTCTTGCGGCTCCGGACGACTTTGTTCCTCAGAGCCTTTTCCTTGAGCTCATGCTCTCTTTTCTCCAACTCCATCTTATGTTTCAGCGTATCCGGGGTATCCTATATTCACAAGGGTTCACAAACAAGGCATGGGACGGGGGAGGACGATGCGGCGTGATTAATCCTCGTTGTCCGAAGAACGAGCAGACGGGGTACCTGCCTCATTCTTCCGCTTCTCCGCTTCAGCCTGGCCCTTGATCTTGAGCTCACCCCCATCCTCTCTTTTTTCGTCCACCTCCATCCGATCATCCGCATCTCTATCCTTGCGCTCGGGTGTCCTGCTCCGGCTTCGACTGCTAGACCTGCCGCCCTTTCTGACTGGTCTAGCGTCCCTGCTAGAGCTCCTAGCGCGGCCTTTCCTGATGCTGGCATCCGAACCTCGCCTCCTCCGCAGTGGTGGAGGCGGAGACCTCGAGCCGGAAACAGAACGACTGCGTCTCCGCCTGGGAGGCGGGCTCGGACTACGTCGACCACCATACCGCCTGGGTGGGGAGCGAGAGAAGCTGCGCGAACGCGAGTATCGTCGCCTCCTCGGGGGTGGGCTACGGCTAAAGTCCCTGTCCCTTCGCCGAGGCGGAGGTGGTGACATGGATATCGATCGAGGCCTGCGACGCCTGGGAGGAGGAGACCGCGATGGGGAACGAGACAGCGAACGTCGAGGCGGAGGGGAACGTCGGGGAGGAGGGGAACGCCGGCGGCGGGGAGGCGAACGGTATCGCCTTGGTGGGGAGCGCGAGGGCAAAGGTGTGCGTCTGCGGGGAGGTGGAGAGCGTGAGATTGGGCGACGATGGGGAGGGGGAGACCTGGAGAACGACCGCCTGCGCGGGGGAGGGGAACGAGGCGGGGGTGAGCGGGAACTACGAGTGGAGAAAGGGGGCGTCCGGGAACCGGAACGGCCACGACGGGGAGGAGGGGAGCGAGGACGCTGCATTGGAAATATGAAAAACTGGGAAAAGATTGTAATCCACCAGGAGTGCTCACCCCGGCTCTGGCACCCCATCCGCTGTCTCTGGGGCGGTCGTCCATGCCACGGCCCCGCCCTCTCCCTCGGCCTCTTCCGCGGCCTCTGCCACCCCCACGCTCACGCTCTTCACGTTCATTTTGCCGTATCTCATCAAGACGTGCTCGACGGTCACGTTCATTAAGCGCCCCCGAGTCCCTCTCGGCAGCCTTCCTCATCTCTTCCTTTTTCTCCTCCAAGAACCGTTTCGGTACACCGCCTAACGAGTCTTGGGCCTCCAGCAGCAGTTCCCACAACGCAGACATGAATTCTGCAGTGTGGTTCGTGAGGAACCCCGTCAGGTTGATCTGCATCTTTTTAGGGTCGGGAGTCTAACAGAGCGAAGTGAGCTTGCGAACGTGTGTGAGCGGAGGCTGCGCGTACCGGCTGTGAGGGGTCCTCTAGTAGACCCATAGCGTACTCAACAACGACTTCGTCTTCAAAACCGACGAGCTCAACGACCTTCTTAGCGATCCATGGTCTAATCACGTCGAGGTTCACTTTGCGCATGTCCACCTATGAAACAATGAGAATGGGCTCGTTCAGACTATTCATTGGGGCTACCTTCTTGTCAAATGTAGCCGGAAACTTCATCGTTTTCAGGAGCTTCATCTCCTTGTCGGAAAACCGGCGGTCCTGCTCGGCTGATGTGCCTTTGAAGAACCCTATGACAAAGGGTTTCACGCGTCAGAGTACATTGAGAACGCGGATTACTGAGTCGCTTACCAGCGTCAGCCATTATGAAAGTCCTGCGCTGGCTGTTTTATAAAGATTGAACGTGGGTGTCGTGAACAATGTCGGCGACGACTTCTACGCTGACAGTGCAGTGGCGCGACACAAGAAGCAATCAGACCGTGGGAAACTAGTATGAAGGACTGTAAGTGACAGTAAGTCTCAAGTCAGACTTAGCGCTTCAAAGTTCAAGGTTATAAGAGAACTCATAAAGGATCATGCAGGTAGTCGAGATTTATCAATTCACAGACAGAAACCTGCATTTACTGACAAGACAGAAGGACATATTCATCACCATTCTCTCAGACAGCCGTCCTCCCCCCTCCACACCGTCCCTCGCCACGGTTTCTCAAGGATATGCTTCGCCGCGGTCTGCCGCACGAGCTCCTCGTTAATTTGGATTCCCAAGCCGGGACCTAGGAAACGCGGCACATTTCATCAGGGCTATAAATGACAGAACGTACGTGAATGCTGCTCACCTTTCAGGGCTTCGACATAGCCGTTCTGCAACTGGAACACACTCGGGTCTATCAGGTAGGTGTACAGGTCCGCGCCTTTGTTGTAGTGGATCTATAGGCTACGTCAATTTCAACCGCCAATGAGGGTGGTATCCACGCACCTGCCAGCTCATTTCTTGGATGACATCTAAAGTGGTCGAGCAGTCAGGACGATAGTAGGAGGGACAACAGGGAGGAGCGTGACATACAATTGGGCGAGGCCAGCCCAACCTGCATGCACGCCGCTAGAGCAATAGGCCCCATCGGACAGTGCGGTGCCAGGCCGACGTCGTACATCTCTGTTAGCGAAGCTATCCGGTGCAACTCGCTGATCCCGCCGCAGTGAGACACCTATATTTCATCTCAACTCGTGAGATATATAGTAGGTTGACTCATAACAAAAGTGAAGACGCACATCAGGCTGCGCGATGTCGATAGCCCTCCTTTCGAGGTACGGCCGGAAGTCACTCCGGGTGTAGAGGCGCTCGCCCAGGGCGATGGGCGTCGACACGGCGTTGGAGAGGTCGGCGATCTCTTCCGCCTGAGTTGGGAGCAACGGCTCTATAGTTGCGGATTATGGTGTTAAGACTGGTTCAACGGTGTAGGTAACAAGTAGGCTCACCCTCGATGAAGAGCGGCTGATGCGGCTCCAGGAGCTTCGCCAGCTGCTTCGCCATAGCTTTATGCAGTCTCCCATGGAAGTCCACGCCAACGTCCATCCCGAGCGCTCGTACGTCTTTCACTCGTGATACGGTGTCCGCGAGCGCCGTGGGCGAATCGAGCCACCCGATAGAATCTACGAAACGTCAAGGACTGTTGGTCCATGCGAGAGCTGTAGCTTCGCCTACCCGTCGCGTTCATCTTGACCGCCGTGAATCCTTGTGCCTTCCTCGCTGCGGCACCGTCAATAACATCACTGGGTTTGTCCCCTCCTATCCACCCATACACTCTGATTCGGTCCCGTACTTTGCCGCCTAGGAGCTGATAGACAGGGACACCTAACTTCTTCCCTTTGATATCCCAAAGCGCAATATCCAAGCCGGAAAGCGCGGACTATAACGACGAAGATCAACTGGGGTAGTAATCCCCGTTACCGGAGGAGCTAAGATATGTACCATGAGCACCGGTCCGCCGCGGTAGAATCTGGCGCGATATGCATGTTGCCAGATGTCTTGGATCTGGTCAGCGTCTTTTCCCGTAAAGGTCTCCTTCAGGTCCAGGAATGCGCCTTCGACAGCTTCGGTGTGGGCTTCAAGGGTAGCCTCGCCCCATCCTACAAGGTCATCTGCGGTTTCGACGCGGACGAACAACCAGCGAGGAGGAAGCCGGAAGACCTTACCTCTCTCATGTCAATACCTTCTTCAATCTGTGTAGTGGGAAGTCCTGCTCACCTCGATCTGACTGATGATGCTAGGGCTGCTCGCGGAGCTGGACATCGTGACAGTCAACGCGATCCTAGGTCTTTGCGTTATCCAGCAGAAATCACCGAGTCCCTCTGGCTAATGGAAAGACATAGGTCGACGTTCCGTCGTTTATCTATGTTTACTTTCCGTCAGCTGCTGCTCAAGCGGCCCGGCCTGTAAACCGGCAGAATACTGCAATTCGCCTAGCATACTGTCCCAAGCTTCGAGCTTCGAACGTAAGCCCCGTAAGGTATATCGCGTGAACCGTTCCGTATCCTCTGTGGTGGACAGTAGTGCGCGAAGAGACGAGAGACAAACGCTATGCCAATAGCATGCTGAACGAATCCAAAAGCAAGTGAGAGGCGCGTCTCTTTGCCACGTTTCCGTTACTTGCACCTCCAGCCAGGTCCCGAACTCTGTGTCCGCTGGTCTCTCATTCCTTCCGCTGAGCGGGCATATAGTTCACTGAGGGCCTTATCTTCGACTTTACGATCTTCCAATAGTCTTTCCAGACGTCAGGTACTCGGGACCACCGAGTCTGCTACTAGTACGCGTCTGCCATGTATCCGTCCCGCCTTCCATGTTGCACGTCCCTGCTATCATGCTGCCTCGCTATCCTACTCCTCTCCGCCCCAACCTTCGCCATTAAATTTACTCTGCAATCCTCCCGCTTCCCTCCAGCAAAATGCATCTGGAACACGGTACACGAGAACACGCTCGTCATCGTGACCGCCAACGTCGGCCCAGGGGACAAGCAGCGCGTAGACGTGGAAATTGTGGACAACAGTGCTACCAGGAACCAGTACTTGCACAAGAGGGACATCAATGGAGAGACGAGGCTGGCGATTACGACCCATGCGGAGGGGGATGTCGGGGTGTGCTTCCGGAATTACCTGGATGGTGGTGCGTGGCCGTCACTGCTGGCCTCGTAAAGCGCTCGTCTGATTTACTGGGGCTGTCAAGATGTGCCTGACAAGGAGAGGCTAAAATATAGTCGCGTCATTGACTTGGACGTCGACATTGGGGCGGACGCCGTGGATTACAAGTACGTACAACTATACTCTAGTCCGACCCGGGTTCTGAAGATAATGTTGTCCATAGCGCTATTGCGAACCAGGAGTCGTTATCGGGGTTAGAGGTGGAGATGCGCAAGCTCGAGGGCATCGTCCAGGAGATCGTCGACGAGATGAATTACCTAAAAGCGAGAGAAGAGCGGTTCTCGCAGACTAACGGCAGGTTTCCAGTCTTCCTCCCTTCCGCCTGTGACGCTGAATGCGGAACACGCGTTTTTGCAGAATCGACGTTACGACGAGTGCAAAACTTCTCGTGGTTCATCATATTCTCTTTGCTGGGACTCGGGGCATGGCAGATTTTCCATCTGCGAGCATACTTCAAGCGCAAGTACCTTATTGACTAGGCTCATCTCCCTTGTCGGATTCTGGGACAGTATGTAGTCAGCCTAATCTATGTAGCGCTATTTTATGGGCTTCACTCTGGATATTACCCTTCAGCTATAGTGGGGCCTGCATTCCTGCTTAAGTACTGAAAAGTGCGGTCGCGCTTACAACCTCAGTGTTATACAGGTACCCAGGAGTGTCAGCGGATGCCTTAGGTGTGTTGCGATACCCTGACGTTATCCCTGCGCAACGGTGTTTACTCACCAGGTCCAACAGATCGCATACACGGCGCGTGCGCGGTATATTGGCCCGCACTAGTGAATATCTCGACCATTAGAAGTTAGTGCTTGGCTCCCCCCCTTCCAAAAGAAACGACTCGTGACATCACCACGCAATGAAGCCAACGTGACCCCACGCTCGGAAACTGCATTCCTAGCTCTCTCCCATGGCCTTCCTGCGGTTGACGTGCTCTCCACCCTTTCAGGTACTCAAAGACGGTCCGATATTGCAATCTGCGAACGTCGGTGTGCTCGAAACTCGATTGTGGGCAGGCGGATGGGCTGCATGGAGTATCCTCCGCTGTTCAATGTGCACGTTCCACAGCTCGACAAGACGTCGAATGTCCTATACGCAACGCCAGTTACAAGTGTATTACCGACACCGTGGGCTGCAATGAGCTGCCTATTACACACCAAGATAAAAGGGCCGCAAGGTCAGCCTGGTCAGATGATGTCTGACTTCCCTGTGTTCCTCGAATAGACCGTGGCTGTAGTATCTGAGCATCCGATATCGGGGGCATCTCCCTTAGAACTGGCCATTCTACCAAGATTGATGTGCAGGCCGGGATCGCCTGCTTGATCAGGGTGACTAAACTCGAGAGGAGGTAGGACACCAGTGTTGTCGTGAAATTCCGTGTTCCTGGTTCCCGGGGCGCTGTCGCGATTCAAACCCACCAGCACGATGACCAAGGTCGGGATGATTCCCTGATGTAGCTATTCGTTAGTTAGATGCACTGACAGGACTACGTGGCTTCTTACGGCCAAGCCATTTGCTAGATCTTCGACGTATCCCTGTCATATATCGTGGCGCGATAAGTCGGTGGTTATCCGATGCTTACCATACAAAGACATACAAAATATGGGTTTTCGATCCAACATAGTATAGCCAGGACAAACAGCGCGGCAGCGTAAAGGGACCCAGACTCAATTCTAGGACATGTTAGCCGTAGACGCTGCACGTACGTTCATAACTTACAAGAGGTGCATGATGAAGAAATACTTCCTCCCGTGCCCTTGCCGGAAATGTTTACTTATATGGCGAGCCGAGGACCAGATGCGGTACGCTGACACGCACGCGTGAGTACAACGTCATGGCAAAGTAACGAAGTGCGTCACCTATCAAGCCTGTGATGAGGAGGTTATTGACGAAGTATATCGTATAACTTGCCCCTGCTAGAGGCCACACTTGTTTCGCTAGGTCATTCCATCCCGGAAGAGGAACAGGTGCGGCCAGCGGTGCGCGCATTCGGATCAAGTACATCTTCGCGGCCACGACCACGACGTCCAATCCGACACCTAAGTGAGACGATGTTAACATTGGCTGCACGTCGTCTGGCTCGAGGAGCAATCGTACCTGAACCTACTAGTAGCAGGAGGATGGGAAGGACGACAATCCACCGATGCCTACCCCAAACCATATAGCAGCGCCAGATCTTGCTCATCGTCAGCGGTAGCCAAGTGAAAGGTGCAAGAGAGCTTGCCAGAAGTCCATCTGTTACAAGGCTGCCAACGTGCTCAGCATGATATGCATCTCAGACCTAGTGGGGGACAGCATACACATTTGCAATCGTCACCGCATATTCTACGCAGACCAGCAAGTTATTGAAGTTCTTCCGGTCCAGCATCGTCGCAGCCACAGCATCCGCTGTCAGGGTTGACGAAAGCGTGGGCTTGCCGTCCGGGAGTTTGAGATATGTTTGCACTCGGATAGGAAGTGGCCCTGTGAGATCCCTAGCAAAGACAGCCACCAGCAAAGTACAGATCATTTGCGCTGTTGCACACAGGAACAACAGAGCGGTGACTATGAGGAGTCCTTTGCTGAACGCTGACTGGCGCCATCGCGAAAGGATGACACAGATCGATCCAGTGAACACCACGAGATGGACGCCTGCAAACACAAAATGTCTTCGTTCTAGTCTTGCACTATGTCCTTTACTACATGGTGCGCCTACCATAAAGTAGAGTCACAACCTGAGGAGGGTTGCAGTGTTAGCTGGGTGCTTTAGACGAATGGTGGTACCACGCACCCAAAGCCCGATAATATTGTCCTATGGTATTCCCGGAATGAGATAAGCACATTGCTGCCAGTGCGGACAGAACACTACTCACTCGCAGCAAACTAAGTGCCATGGTGTCTGCTGCTGCCCGGCGGGAAATCGTGAGCGATGTCGACAATCAACAGCTGAGTCCGCCGTACTGCAGGCTTTGTGGGCCCGAACGGGCACTGCGGTTCATCACTCAACATGATGGACGAGGATAAACTCTAGTCGGCGGCGCCTACCAATAGAGTACCCATTGTAATGGGGTTAATCTGGGCCAAAGTTTGACACTGGTGCGGGGAAGTGACTGGTGTGACTGATGCTTTCAGGGACCCTCTAGTAGGACGAGTTATTGATCGGACGCCATGGTCAAGTAAACTACTTCACTCGACAGTGGCATACCCATAAGTTCGGTGTCCGCCGATATGTATGGATACGGGCTGAGTCTACTGCAGCGGGACATGTAGCAGCTATGGACAGAATCAGCCTTTCATGGTGACGTCTATCGGCGTCCGAACGGATGCTGTATCATCAGCCGCCACACCGGCTTAAAACGACGGACTCCATCATTGACATGGCTCTGACCATCGGGCATGGAAAGCGGATTCCGTAGACAACGAACCGTCATCGAGTGTAGCTTCGACATCAGCGGAAAGCCAAAGTGCAAGGGCATATGCGATGGCCAGCCATATGCCTATGGCAATCAATGCCATTGCCAACAGCGAGAGTGTTTTGTGCGCTAGCCCACTGCGGAGTGATTGCTGAGTGAGCCTCGGCGGAATACTGCGAGCTCCGGATGCGGGGTATGCACTCGCGGCTGAAGATCATCAGATGCATATATCCCCAGTTCGAGATTTGCAACCGTTACCCTCGAGTGCGAACCTGAGGTGATTTCGCAGCTAATCAAGCTTTTGCTATCGAAATTCAGGGGAATAAGTTACGCCGTCCCAAGGATCGCCAATGTGGTCGTGTGCGCCGGCGGGCTCCTCCACCAGAGTTCAGCCAGAAGTCCATCAATAAAGTTCTCAACTTCGCTCTGGAAAAGGAGTTCGGCGGCGCAGAGTGCGTTCACGGATATAACCAGCAGTACGTTGGAGCGCCCTTGGTTCTTCGTCCCAAGTTTCAAACCTTCCAGACACCAGAAGATATGCTTGGTCAAGAGTCAGAGATGTGACAAGCGATGACGGCGGTTCGCGTCCAAGGTCAACTTGAACTTGAAGCCACAAGCGCGATGCAATTCGCATCTTTACCATGGACGACCACGACTTGCCCGACCTGAGTCTCATCGCAGCCCCGATGGTCAACCAGTCTGATCTACCGTTTCGTTTACTAACCACCAAATACGGAGCAACGCTGACCTACACCCAAATGTTGCACCCGAACCGTCTGCTCGACGACCCCGAGTACCTCGCCTTCCACCTGCGCGATCTTGCGATATCGCAGCAGCTCCAACAACCGGTAGTCGTGCAGCTATGCGGTAATGATCCAGACGTCGTGGTGAATGGTGCTAAGAAGGTTGTGGGTGAATGCAATGGTGTAGGTAGGTTCAAGGGGCAATAAGCGAGCAGCGGCTTATCGGTGACCTGAAGCTTTATTCTGCTTGATGCAGACCTGAATTTGGGCTGCCCGCAATCCCATGCAAAGGACGGTCATTACGGGGCCTACCTCCTTGGACAGAAAGATTGGCCATTAGTAGCAAGCATCGGTGAGTCAATAGCCTATATCGCTACATGTACACAAGGCTGAACAAACAATACGATCTTATGAACGGCCGTCAAATGGCCCATATAGTCTCGTCCTTGTCTCAATCTCTGACGGTCCCAGTCTCTGCGAAGATCCGTCTATGCTCTCCCTCCTCCCAGACACTCCAGTTCGCTCATCTCCTGGAGGCGGCAGGTGCCTCTTGGATCACCCTCCATGCACGGCATGTGAGCGTGCGACGGCGTCGTCAGGGCGCAGCATTCTTAGACGAAGTAGCAAAGCTGAAGACGGGCAGTGAAGCGGTACCAGGCGTCAGTATCCCCGTAATTAGTAACGGGAACGTACGATATTGGGAAGACATCCCAAGAAACCTGGAACAGACGGGGGCCGATGGCGTGATGGTCGGTGAGACACTACTGAGGAATCCGTGGTAAGTCAGAGGAACACTTCCTTCTCGAGCCTCGTCGAAACGGTGTCCGCAATTGAGTGATTTCCAGTTTGTTTGACAAGACAGGCAGAATTCCGGATCCTATCCTAATTTCGCTGGAATATATTGATTTATGTCGCCAGCACCCCGAAACAGTCACACTGGACCAAATACAGGCGCACGTCAAACACTTGGTCGAGTTCCAGTGGTACGTACGCACCCTTGTTTGATGCCCCTACGTTGCTCATGCCCTGTCTCTGCATCAATATAGCTCTCGTAGCCCCTGGTATCAGAAGTTCCGTGGTTACCTTTCACGTTCAGCCTCTATCGACGAGATCGATCGCCTTCTGAGACGCAAGGTTCAGAGATGGAGGGGCCTATCACTCCTGGATGACAACGAGCAGCCAGACGACGACGAGGATGATGAAATTGAGGAGGGGGTTGGATCGTCCGTGGAAGTCACCCTCGATGGCTGAATATGAAGATAAACGTGCGATACCCACTCCTAGTTGCTTCTCGTCGATCTGTGGCTTCTTGCCTTATGAGCGGATCACCACCCCGCGACTGCTTCATGCGCGACGGTCGCACTGCAGGGTAGGGGCCCGCACCCATGTAGGTGGCGCGTCCGGGCATCGGGTATGCCCCTATCAAGAGATATATCCTGGACCTTGAATGCCCTTGTGAAATCAGGCTGGAAGTCCTTCCTGGCATATCAAAGACGGTACCGGTGGCTACCCAATTAGGCGCAAACTCACGACTCGCCACTCGTATGGGTGGACAGCGAATCACCTCTTCTTCCGCCTCAGTAGTCTTGACTTGCATTTACTCTATCATCCCTCCCGGACGATTGTAAGCTTTTGGGTGGTCTGGTGTAGTTGCGTAACGTGTTGTCCGTTGAGAGTGCCACACACATAATCTCTCGTAACGCATATTACGTGGCCCACGTGTTTACTGCAGGCTTACGATGGTCATCGACGACTTGCGCGATCAGCATGACGCTGCTGATGAGGAAGCAGCCATGAATGTACTCTCTATTAAGGCGTACCACTACCGCCGCCGTCTTCCGTCAGTCGCAGCTGCGTCGTATTCCACCGCCAAGGCAATTTCGTTGGACCATGAGCAGAAACGCTGAAGAGCAGTCGGATATCACGAGGCTGAAGTTCGAGGCGGATGGTTCGTTCAAGAGACTTGACTCTTCATTTAGAAACCAGATACAGAAGGGAGGAAAGTTCGAGCCAGAGAAAGGTAAGCATCGTATACAATGCAGTGTTTGACTCTTTCATCCGCCTTGCCCTCTCGGCGGGGAGAGATGGTATACCCGTTCTCTTGACGGGCACCCTCAAATCAAGGAAGGGAGTCGAGTGAGCGAGCGAATTGCAGAGTCTCGGGCAGGCAACTACCAGAAACACGCTCCAGCTGACATGAGCCGTTAGATCGGTATCATCTCTATGTTTCCTACGCGTGCCCTTGGGCGACCAGGGCCTTAATTGTCAGGAAACTGAAAGGGCTAGAGAACCTGATCGGTGTAACTGTGGTGTCCCCGCGCATGGGCGAACACGGCTGGCCTTTCGCCAACGCCCACAAATTCCCAGACGCAGACGTCGATCCTCTATATAATTCCGATCATGTCAAGGACCTGTACTTCCGCGCGGAACCTGAGTATGGTGGAAGGTCGGTACTGTGATCTGGATCAACTGCTGGATGATGCATAGCTGACACATTCCTGTAGGTTCACGGTGCCTGTCCTCTGGGACAAGAAGCACGAGACTATCGTAAACAACGAGTCTTCAGAGATCATTCGTATCTTCAACACGGCCTTCAATGAATTCTTGCCTGCCGATAAAGCCGCTATCGACATCTATCCCGAAAAGCTGCGGTTGCAGATCGACGAAGTCAATGCTTGGGTGTACGACACTGTCAACAGTAAGCCGTTGGGAAGCTTTTGTGATGCTACCCGAATTTACGGACATCTTCATTAGACGGTGTGTACAAGACAGGTTTCGCACGGACGCAGGAGGCGTACGAGAAAGCTCTATTCCCTCTGTTCGAATCGCTTGACAGGCTAGAGAAGATGCTGGAGGGAAAGCAGTACCTTATTGGCGACGTCCTCACGGAGGCGGACATAAGGTTATTCGTGACCATCGTAAGTTGCATTTCACCGGGGCGATCACGAAATATTCACTCAGATGTGGCCCCCTTAGATTAGATTCGACCCCGTGTACGTCGGGCATTTTAAATGTAATATTCGTACTATACGAGGAGGATACCCGGCCATAAATAAGTGAGTACACTGCCTTGATCCTAAATGTCTTCCTCTGTGTTTGGGGGTGGGCGCCGGGACTTCACTGACTGAACTCTGTACGTCCCAGATGGATGAAGAATCTGTACTGGAACCACCCTGAGTTCAAGGATACCACGAACTTTAACCACATCAAGACGCACTACTATTGGTCTCACCCCATTGTACGCCTTTCCGTTCTTTTCGCTTCGTCTGTTACGCCCCTTGCTGAACCGCTCGTAGATCAATCCCACCAGAATTGTGCCTGTGGGGCCTATCCCTGATATCGACCCGCTGTAATCACTCAGGTTGTAAACTTGGCAGGAGAAATGTATCAATTATCATGTGATAAGCATGAAACTGGTCCAGCATCAGACTCACAGTTACCCTCGGAAGCACGGCTGGCAGGGCGTGGCATGCTTTCGCTGCCTCTCCGTATTCGACGTGAGAGCGTCATGCTGATATTGTCTGAGGTTTCGCAAGGAACGGAGAAACTTGACAGTTCATTTGCAAAGCAGATCCGTTCGCGAACACATTCGAAGACGGCCAACTGAGCCCCTAGCTCAATGATACAGGGCGACGCTCACGGCGGGGAAGTAGAGGAAGAGTAAACAGTATGCTCCAGCTCTAGGAACGCCAAAGACGCAACGGAGGCACTCGGAAGGTCTGAATACCGACACAAACGAGATCAGATCACGCGAGGTACAAGCAAGACTTTCGAACTCTATTCATTTCTAACAAGCGCTAAACTTTGTGGTACACCGTGCCATTTGTTCCCTCCGCCCGATACCCGAATAAAAATCATGAGTAGTCTCAACAATCTCAACATTAGGCTATAATAGCCGAGCCAGAGCGGCTTTATTTGTTGGCGCTCTTGATAATGTCCGCAGCCTAAGATAAGTGTCAGAAGGGTCCAAACACATGCACTGAAATACAAACCTTCTCGCCAATGGCGTACGCAAGGGTGACGATGTTAGCAGAGACGATGATCGGGATAACGGAGCAGTCGACCTGTGAAGAGATATTCAAGAGTCATCCCAATAACAACGTCGGATGTTGCACGTACCACCCGGAGGTTCGAAGTACCGTACACAAGGAGGCTGGGATCCACGACACCGCCGTCCTCCCTGGGCAACATGGCAGCAGTGCCGACGGGGTGCCACAAGGCGCCCAAGCATTGCTTTACGTGGTTGCGAGCGGTCTCCTCGTCGACATCGGCAGAGTAGGTCGGGTAGACCTTCTTTACGACAGAGTCCGACAAGGGCTTCGTGTCATACATCTTCAGCGTGAGTCGCAGGCATTTAGTGAGGATGTCGAGGTCCGCGGGGTTGGCGAGGTAGTTCTGCTGGATGGCGGGCGGCGCGAGGGGGTCGGCGGATGTGATGTGGACGGTGCCCCGAGAGAGGGGGTGGGCGTAAGTCGAGACAACGGAGATGTACCGCTGCCCGGGGCCTGGGGTAAGGCCGGGCACGGGGAGGTGACCGTTCCAGTGGATGAACCTGAGCGGGAGACCGGAGTCAGCGTGTATCCAAGATGTACGGATAAATAGGACTGACTGGGCTATAGGCCAATCCTGGTCGGCCCATTTACTGATAATACCGTATTGTTTCTGGATACCTTTCTTCACGGGGGCCGGAGTCTCCGTGAAGATCTCGGGGGTGCTCTCTACACTAGCCAGAGACTCCCACTTGCGGATGTCGGCGTCCGACCCGAGCGCCTTGCCGGAAGCAAAGGCGACGAGAGAAGTGGGGACGGCGGCCAAAATTCCCTGCTGGGTACCACTGAGACGCAACCATTCTGTTCAGACTCCAGAACTTGCGTAAATGAATGAAACGTACTAGAGCTTTTGCTGAGCAGCCATGTGCTCAGGATCAGCGAGCATCTCTAAAGTCTCGATCTTAGGGTCAACTTCGACAATGGTCGTGATGATGGCATGGTCCTCTAGCGTTTCTCGTGAGCACTGATTGACGAGATACTTTGTAGGACCTACGGAGGTTCTCGCCAACCCCAGGAGCGTCAATCTTGGTCTCGATGCCCAAGGCTTGCAGCCGGCTCTTGTTACCAATCCCGGACAGCTCAAGGACTTGAGGCGTCTGGAACGAACCTGGACATAGCCATGAGCGAGACACAAGGGAACAAGCGAAGCAACGTACCGGCCGAGAGAATAATTTCTCTCTTAACATTGACGGTGGTTGTGATGCCGTCCCTGATAAAGCTAACACCAGTGGCTTTCTGCATCCCATTGGGACCCGCCTCCAAATGCACCTGCCCAAGCCAATGAATCCCATGAGAAAGGATCGCCCTGTAACATCCACTGAGAACGCACCTTCGTGACCTGAGCTTCTGTAAGAACCAGAAGGTTCTCTCGTCCGGAGTTCGGCGCGAAGTACGTGTTTGCAGCATACGAGCGGGTGGCAGTAGAAGGATTGACAGTGGAAGGGGTCAAGAAGGCGCCCACTGGCTTCCCCGCAGCCTGACAACGGTGGTCCCTCTGAGCTCCACCTGTTTCTGGGTCGCATGCTATGAGACACGTACTTGGGAAGGGTTCCGCGGAACGCCAAGCTTCTCTAGGGCGTCCAGCATCTTCGAGTGAAGGTCCGTAACATGGGTGGGGAACGACTTCGCGACGGGGCCTAATCAGAAGATAGGGACAGAAGATCGTATTGTTAGAAGGTTGGCTGCGAGGCTCGGACAGTTATACACGTGCGACTGAGAACTCACCATCGTGTCCGTAGAGTCCTGGTTCAGGACCTACAGCGTATTCCACTGCCTTCTCAGGCGTGAGATGGCTGGGCTCATGCAAGTGTTCACTCTGAGGGTGGAAGATATACGTCAGGCAAGGTAATCGCCAGACCGATAGAATATATGATCACCCTCTTCATATATCCGAGGAGATTCTTCCAGTTCCAGCCCGGATTTCCCAGCTTCTCGAAAGCATCCACCTCTTCTTCCGCAGGACGAATGGCAAGCAGGAAGTTGATCTATACGGTATCATTAACTGTCGATCCTGTTGGTGAAACGACGAAAGTACGGACGGCAGATGTTCCTCCCAGACCTTTACCACGATTCTGGGGAACGACGCGACCGTCGAGCTCTTTCTGAGGCAAGGTCGAGAAATTCCAGTCGAACTTGGGGTTGCCCAAGGCCAAACCCCTCATGCCTGGATTACCATGTCAACGAAAGGCTTCAAACGACCGAGGGATGGAGTCGGGCTTACCGGGTATATTGATTTCGGGATCGTGCTCGTGGTAGGGTCCGGCTTCGACCACACCAACTTTTACATTGGGATCTTCCGATAGTCTAAAGATGTATCCAGTTACCAGAGACCCTCCGAGCTGTAAGTTACAAGGGACGCAAATATTCACCTAGCGGCGACAATAAGTCCCGAGGTACCTCCTCCAACGATAAGGTAGTCGAGCTGGGTCTTGGTGAATGTATCGACGTTTACGATGGGCATGTTGCTAGTGTTGGCGGACGCTCTGTGCAGTCGTGGTTTAAATAAGGACTTCTAGGAGTAAATGTTGTAGGCGCGGCACTCAGTCGAACACCATTGACAGCAGGGTTGCCAGAGCGAAGGCCGAGGATGGAGGTCTGCACATCGATCATTCGCTCTGGCCCCCCTTGTCTTCGTTCTCCCGCATTTGCAGTACATCAGACAATGGCATCAGAAGTACGAAGCAACTGAGTATATGTTGCTGATACGATCTAATCATCCGGCGATCCACCATCAATAGCTCAGGCTGTCAGAACTTCGCACTCTTTGCTTCCGTCGCCGAAAACTTCTGCAGGGTCCCGGCCGGCGCCCGGATATGTACTACGGTTTTCGGAGGCCAAACTGAACGGGGTTTTTGTTCGTAGCTGCCGGTCCATGGCGTTCATTGCGCATTCTACCTTGGATTCAACGTCACCCACTGGCATGCGTCCCGTGGTCAGACATAGCACCGCAGCCTTGCAACTGGCCGTCCTGGACAGCCCTAACCTTAACAGTATCGCGCCATAGCGATCGGTGCCGATGAATGCAGATCCGGAGAATGCTTCCTGAGTTACCGGCAAGTGAAGTGTGGCAAAGCACCTCCATTAAAGTCAATTGCAGAGGTACATGTAAGTAGATGGCCGTCTGCTTATCGTCCGTCGCACGCTCATTCGGAATACGACGATGATGGGAATTGTGATGGGTCCTGACAACCTGTAACTCTCTCGAACTCTGGGGTTAACTTCAGATCAGATCACCCACTTACATTGGCGCTATCGTGATCCCTCTGCCTCAAGGGACACCCATTCGGATGGAAGGATGTTGCGCATTGAGAGAGCGGACACAAATCCATTCGACGAAGTGCATCCTCTATAAGATCGGGTTTCTGTCTGTTCCGCCCTTCTGAATACAGCGTTGCAGCAAAGGTATACTTGTTTCCGAGAGGACGAGCTTGACACCACTGTTCCAAATTCAAATTGAAAAAGTCCTCTACTCTTGGAGATCAATCATGAGTTTAATCAGTGCCCCTTGAGAGAGCATCAACCTTGCAGTGTGACGGCCGTGCGTATGACCGTCTCGATGACAGCCATTCTCATGCGGCTCCACCTTGCTCTCAGGATCACAGCATCAAGACACAGTGATTGTCTCTCCGCCCGATTCTCCGGTCCTGTCCCTTGTTCTGATTCCCCATCTGATCCAGATCTCTTATTGGTAAGAGGCGGTTGGTGCATAGGTGGCGCTAGTCCCATCGCTTGCGAAGGTGAGATTCCCAAAGATCGTCCGCCGGCTGTTACGCGTTGCACTTTAAGAGAGTCGACGACGCTAAGCAACGCCCACCCTCCCGACGCTCCTTACCATGTCAGCAGCCACGACGGTCCCAGGCGTCCCGCCGACCATTGCCCAACTGTAAGTCATGGTCGGTTAAGTCAATGTCAGGCTGGTGCTGAATATCTAATCACTCCAGACTCGGCCCTTTGGTAAGTACGAATGCAACGAGGCGTGTCTCTCACGCTGAACCCAAGTGCTTCTTCCTCAGCTCTTGGGCGTGTTATTCAATTGGGCTTTGTTCGGCGCACTTGTTGTCCAAGTCTGTACGTCTCCATTATCCTGTGTATTTTCATTTACGTTTTTTTCTGACCTCTCGTGCAGGGATCTACTACCTTGCGTTCCCAAATGATCGGAGGATTGTCAAGATAGTCGTCCTGTTGACCTTCCTCATTGAGCTCGTGCAGTCTATCCTGATCATCAGTGATGCCTTCAAAACGCTAGCCAGTGGTTGGGGCGACTTGGCGGTGATCACCCGAGTGGGAATGCTGTGGTTCAGCGTGCCCTTTATAAGCGTTTTCGGTGAGCGCGGGACCGCCTATCAACCGCGTGTAGTTCTAAATGGATTATACCGCAGTCAGCTGGATAGCTCAGATCTTCTACGCCTGGCGCATCCGAGTACTCAGCCAGAGCCTGTGGCTACCGGCCATCATCACTCTGGTAAGTGCCCCAGTTGCACTACAGTTCCAGCGGCTCAGATAAGTCATGCGTGGTTCTAGCTCTCGTTACTCCAAGGCGCGTGCAGTTGGTACACGGCTATAGAGCTCAAAATTCTCAATGACTTCTCGAAGCGTGAGTATTGATAACTACAAACTCCGAAGCAATACTGACGTATCGCACCGGCTTCGGCAGTCCAAGACAGGACATACCGTGTCACGTCGGTGAGTATATTCTCAGTAGAACGTAACCTCGTAGCATGTCTGACGTGCTAAACGATAGGTATGGCTCGGTGGAACGGCTCTATGCGACTTGATCATTGCCGCTAGCATGATCTACTACTTGCACAAGTCAAGGACCGGATTCAGCAGGACCGACGACATCGTCCAGAGATTGATCCGTGTAACGGTCGAGACTGGACTGATCTGCACTGTGGTTGCGCTCATAGACCTGGCTGTCTACGTCGCGTTCAAAGATAACAACTACCACTTCACTCCTGTCCTTACTCTGTCCAAGCTGTACTCCAACAGTTTATTGGCGGTCAGTGTTCTGAGCGTGATTGCCCAATCGTAAACGTTAAACATTAATCCTATTTTTAGTCCCTAAACTCACGCATACGATTCACTGGCGGAAGGTTCGATGATCCTAACACCGGCGATCACTCCCTCTCCATTCTTGAGAGCAAGAACGGTGCTACCGTTAGGGGCGCGTCGGTTCATCAGCTTGGGAACAACCCACAGTTACGCAAGAACGGCAACCTGACTGGTGGCATTGCCGTGTCGATTTCGGAGGAAACGTACGGTGACAACTTGCATATCCCCATGAACGATGTGAGTGCGCGATCTTAAGTAGGTACGGCAACAAGTTCTTACGTCCAATTGATTGTGCTAGCTGGGTTGGGATGCAAAACGTGGCCAGATGAACCTGCCTACGGTTCCCAAAAATGCAGACTATGCAGCATAGGCTGTGGGCGACGACTGGCGTTCCTTGTGTACCGTGTTAGAGTTATTATGAATCATTTCAGCCTTCTTGTCACCTGGTCGGGTTGCGCGTGTGTACTGTATTCTACTAGGATGTACGGATTAATTGTCCACAACACTGTCTTGATCACGACGTACGGAAGCCGTCTGTGCTGTTGCCGTGCGTTCGATTTAGAGTCAATGTTACGAAAGACATCATTGTAACTGGCGAGAATGAGAAGCATGTTGTCTGACATGCGTTGCGGGCTGTTCCGTTGGCCTGACCTGTAGCCTTCTCAAGGCACAACGTTTAGATGGAGTATCATCGATGATCAGTCACATATGAAACGAGATGCGTGAAGATTGACTCTTAGATACTTGAATATCGGGTGCGGTGTCGCCTTTGTGCGGTGATTATACGGACATCACTCCATCTGAATCGGCGTTATACTTCGAGGAACTCGAAATCAAAAGGTCCACACATGAGACCATCTACGGTGTACCTTGGACGTCCATGTACTCGTACTTGTCTCCAACAGGATAACAGGATGTCCAGCAGTACCTTTGTACCGGGTACCGTTGCCGAGCAGAACCAGGTCGACTTTAGGAAATCGAGCACAGCAATGCGGGCTTGCACTCGGGGTCCTGGCACCGCGTGATGGAAAGGAGTGACATCCACCTCTAAATATCGAGTTCCTCCTGTGCTAATGCTTGTTGACTTCTATGTGCTCTCTCAGTACACTTCTATTAGGTCTGAGAGTATGGAAAGAGCCTATACACATAGTCTGGTACAGTATATGTGTAATTAGCACCCTTCTCCTTTGTATGAATTGTGCAATACTATATATTACCAAGGTCTGCCTATGGTACAAGTGACAACTCTGCTTTGTTGTTTAAGATCTAGACAAACCATGTAGTCTGGTTCATAGCTCATATACACTCATCATGAAATTGTAGGAGTGGTGGCATGTCAGGATTGAGGTGGCTCTCTAACAACCATCCCGACTTGGAAGGTACATCGGCGAAGTATCCTGTGCCTCAAAGACTCCAACAAGAATTCCGGTGGGGGAAAGTG